CTTTAAGACCTAACAATAAAGCTGTATATTAATATTCCTCATCACTACAGACACACAAAATCTTTAACAAAATGCCAGAAAACCAAATGCAGCACCATGTAAAAGTAAAGATTACTTACCTTGACCAAGTAGCATTTATTGCAGGAAGGCAAGGTGGACTTACCATCCAATAATCTGTTAATGTGCCATACTAATTGAGTAAGGACATAACCCATATGATCATCTCAAAAGATGAATAAAAAACATGTAACAAAATCCAACACACATTTATGAAAACAATTCTCCAAAACCTAACGAGGAAACTTCCTCAACTTGGTAAAGAACATTTATGAAAAACAATCTGCTAACATCACACTTAATGATAAATGCTTTCCCCTAACATTACGAACAAGGCAAGTGAAGATATGTGTTCTTGTCACTTCTAGTCAACACAACTGGAAAAGCTAGCCTGTACAATAAGGGTGTGGTGGGAAGAATTAAACGCTTTCAGATTGAAAGGAAAAAGCGGAGCTGTCTTTATTTGCAGACCACATAATCCTGCATGTAAAAACTCCTAAGGAATCCAACATACAAACAAAAAACTTACCAGCACCAATAAGTTCTTCAAAGCAACAGTATACAACATTAATATACAAAAACCAATTGCATTTCTATATTCTCAGCAATAAACAACCCAAAAATTAAATCTAGGAAAAAATTCCATCAAAAATAAGATCAAGGGGCTAGGGATGTAGCTCAGTGGCAGGATATAGCTTAATGGTAGCCTAACATTCACAAGGCCCTGGTTCTATCACCAGTACCACATAAAAACCCAAACAAAAAAGAATAAAATACTTGGGAATAAATTTAACAAAAGAGGTACAAGCCTTATACAATGAACATTACAAAACTACAAAGAGAAATTAAAGATCTTAATAAATTCAAGCCCGTGGATTCTAAAGAGTATTATTAAGAAAACAATTTTGCCCTAATTACTGGTCTACAGACCCACTGCTCCTAGTAAAATCCCAGCAGGGTTTGTTTGTTCTGGTAGAAACTGACCAGATAAACCTACAATTCGTGTTAAAAAAAAAAAAAAAAAAGATTCATAGTAGTCAGTCTTAAACTACTCAATTTCAACACTTACCATAAAAGCTATAGTAATCAAGACACTATGGTACTAGCATAAGAAGAGATATACAGACTAACAACAGGAATGGGAAGTCTGGTGACTAACCCTTACTTTTACAATTAATGATTTTTGACAACTGTGGCAAATCAATTCAATGGGAGCAAAGGATAGTCATTTTTAACAAATGGTGCTGCAACAACTAGATAGCTATATTCATGAAACTGAATTTAGATTTGTAGGTAACAATATACATAAATATTAATTCAAAATGAATCATAGTCTTAAATATAATAATGAGAAAATTTCTTAGTAGAAAATCTTTGTGCCTGGAGTATAGGGTATTGATTTAACATTGGAGCAGCCATCTTAAATGTTAACCACCATCTTATGAGTTAAGTTTTGCTTTCCTATACTTCCTCTTACTGGAACTCCCCCACTCCCATTAGTGACCTACCCCATGGTGTCATCGGCCAAGCCAATCCCATGCTATTCCCATCAGCCTAGCTCTGATGCAAGCACCTTGAGCCTATCCCATAGCGCTACAAGTACAACTCCAAACCCCTACCCCACAAAAGCTGAACCCCGAAACATCTCAGGGCCTCTCTCCTCTGTCTACAGAGGGATGGCCTTTATTTGTCAGCTCTCTTTTCATGGAGATTAGGCAAAGAACTCTTTGGTACAATCAATACCAAAAGCATGATCCACAAAACAAGAAATTGGAAAAGTTGGACTTGACCAAAATTAAAAACGTTTGACTTTAAGAAACACCATTAAGAAAACGAAAAGGCAAGCCAGAGAACAGGAAAATATTTGCAAATCATAGGCCTGGGAGAGTTTTTGAATGAACATTTCGCCAAAGAAGAAAACAAATGGTCAGTAAGGAAAAGATTCTCAAACTCTTTTTAACATCACTACCTCAGGGAAATGCAGTGAAAACATTATAAAAATACCACTTCACACCCTACTAGAATGGCTACAATAAAAAGATGTTCAACAGCAGGCACTAAAGAAAGTCCTCACCTGCCACTGAACTGTACATTTAAAAAGTTTAAATGGTACATTTTATGTATCACATTTTGTTTACCACAATTATAAAAGCAAAAACAAAGCTAGGGACAGTGTTACATGCCTGTAATGACAGCAACCTGGGAGGCTTAAAAAGGAGAATCGAAAAGTTTGAGTCCAATCTCAGCAACTTAGCAGGACCTTCTCTCAAAAATAAACAAACAGGGCTAGGGTGGTGACTCAGTGGTACAGTGCTCGCCTAGCATGTGTGAGGCCCTGAGTTCAATCCTCAGCACCACATAAAAATAAATAAAGGTACTGTGTCCAATTACAACTAAAAAATAAATAAATAATAAATAAATAACAAATGGCTAGGGATGTAGCTCAGTGGTAGAACATACCTAGATTCAATTTCCAACACTGAAATTTTATATATATATATACACACATACTATAGACATATATACATGTATATGAAAATAAAATTTCAGTGTGTATATACATATATGTCTATATCTCACATACATATGTCTCACAAAGAAAGCCTAGCTTTATATGGCTTTGCCAGTAAATTCTATCAAAACTTTAAAGAATAACAATTTCACATAATTTGTTCTGGAAAAACAGAAGAGGAGAAAACACCAACTTATTCTATGAGTTCAATTTACATGTGCACTTAAAGGCATCATTATTTTTAGAAAATGCATTATATTTAAGTATAGAAGACATAAGGTACTAGGACCTTGAGAACTGTTCCAATTCAGACTTTGTTACCAACTAGTTGTGTCTTCTCTGTCAAGTTACATCATCTTCTTGGGCTTCAGTCTTCTCATTTGTAAACAGGAACGTACATCAAAAAAATCTTTTTTTTTAATCTATATGTTATACTATTACACAAAATTTTATTTGACAAATCCTCAATTGGTATAATCATCTGGCAAACAATACAGCAATATATACTAAGAGTCCATCCATACGCTGGTGAATCATGTCCACTTTTGGATATTTATCTCAAGCATATCATCCAATCAAAGTGAAAAAAAAAACAGGTATGAAGATGGTCACTTTAACAACCCATATGTCCAGCAAGAACGAAATATCATACACATCTTTTCTATTTATATTTTCAAACTTTCATAAAGTATATCAGGAATTTCATAAAAAATTGTTTTCAGTGAATTATTCTTTTTTGCTATGGTAAGTCATTAAATATAGCATTTACTCTTACAAATGGAAATGTCTGAACATTTAGAATATTGACATATTTCAACTTGCAGTCCTCTTTATGTTTTTTTGGACTGGGTATGTCAACCCACATTATTCTGAATGGTATTAAGTAATGGCTCAGAAGAGAAATTCTTTGAAATTATTGGTAATATTTATTCATAATGATCAATTAAATTATTTGCTTAAGAAAACTGACAACTGTGCATAACTCTTTCTCAATTTGTATTGTGACTTTGAATTTGACATGAGTTGACAGAAGAGAGTCTTAGTCTACCTGTGGAATATGTTGGTTTATTTTCAGTACTTGAAAAACATGCAAAGATACTGGTTTGGGAAGTTACCATAAAATTTTTAAGTAAATAGGCATGCTGTAAATGTGTTTTTATGTTTCAATAAAGAGGAAATTTTTTTTTTTGTGGGAGGGGAGATACTAATACAAAGAAACCTCAAAATTAACAAAAGCTAGTATGAAAATAACTACAGAAAATATTTCTTAGGTGAAAGAACCAGAATATAATTAATTTACACATTATATCAGTATATGTACACATTATATCAGTATATGTCAAACAGGCAATTTGCATGAATGAAAGTCCTATTAGGGTTGTGAATCTAAACTGTATTATTCTGAAATGTTGATACATATTATTATACATATGTATTCCCACCTACCCAGTGTGGAGAATAATATACAAAATATCAAGGGTAGATACTCCAGATATAATATTAGAGAGGTCAAAATCCTTAAGCCTATTTAATTGATCATCCTCATTCCCCTTGAGGTTCTCAATATTTCTCAACCTTTATTTTTAAGTGTGTCAATCACAAAACTACTATTTGAATTGTACAACCACTAAAGCTTCTCTCAATTAAGAATAGTGGTGCGAAGAGTGTGTCTAGTTTCTTGGTTTTTCTTCTTATTCCTATGGCCGCCTGATAAATGAGAATTTCACCAGGATCCAGTCTTAGTATTTACAAAGTGAGCACAACTCTAATAAAAGTAGGTTGGACCCTATGAAATTGTTTGCAGGTCAAAAAAGTTCATCAGCAATTTCACAGGGTTCAACCTATGTCAATATCTTTGTATTAAAAAAAAAATAAGGAAAATTTCCTAAGGATATAATTTACTTGCTTAAAGGCATTTTATGGTGAAATAAAAAATTTCATGAGCTTCTTAGATACGGTTTTATTTTGGTTTCCCTGGCCCTTCTAAGTCTTCTAAAGCTTTGTGGCTATGCTTTTTAGGTTAGGGGGGAAAAACATGAAATTTTCTTTATCATATATTTTATTACAGGAATATCTAGTAATTTTTTTTGTACGCTGGAGTGTCTTTCTATGTATTTTTTTCCCCTTCGAGACTCTAGAACTCAAGAACTCTTTTCATAACTTTCCCAACAGTGAGTACTCTTAAGTCAGTTGTTTTCGTAATTTTAAGCAACTAGTTTTTGCCTGTTTGCATTAGTAAGCTAAAGTCATAAGCAAAACCAAGTGTTTAAAATCGGCCAACTAAAGAATATTAACATCACCCTGTTCTAACTCGAATTCTGCTGAAGTCTTGTTTCTCTTCATAAAACAATTAAGTTTTGGTGTCAACACTTCTAGAACAATGCTCCTTCCACATCCAATTGAAATCAGCCCCATTTTGAGAACATCTTACCTGAAACTACCATAGACTATAAGAAGAATGGATATCAGAAACGTAGACACTTGACTGGAATCCACCAGGGAATAGGCCCTAGAGAAATAAAGAGGGAAAAAAATTAAGTTATATGCAGCAAATCCTCATGGATCTTACAATCTGTGGTCTTTAAGATGACAAATATATGCAAATTAAAACTAGCAAAATAACATTAAAATTAAAGTGTGATTTGCTAGTTCCACATGAGGAATAAATAGTAAGTTCATAGTTATTATAGTTAATATTCACAGGATATTAAGTGATAGACATCTAAGTAAAAATTCCACCTCTTTATGATATATAATGTATTTGTAACATCCATTCTCAATTTTAAAGGTATCCAAATATCTACCAAATATATGCCGTCAGAAAACTCCATTTACACTGGAATCACTAGTAGCTAAAACCATAGCCTTTTTTTCTTTCTTTCTTTTAAATTGCTGATAGACTTTTTTTATTTATACGAAGTGCTGAGAATCAGACCCAGTGCCTCACATGTGCCAGGCAAGAGTGCTCTGCCGAACCCTAGCCCTAGCCCTAGCCCCAGCCCCCTAGGCCCACTTTTTAAATTTTGTGCCAGGGTCTCAGTAAGTTGGCCTCCTGAGTCACTTACAGGCGTGCATTTTTCCTGCTGCCTTGTGCTTTGCCTTACTGCCCCTTTGCTGCAAAATTCAGACCCAGAAAACTTCATGATACAGAGAGTACTCCTTTCTTTGTTTTAATTAAAACTTCCAATTTTAATGAACACAACTTTCAACCTCATTCTTGATATTCTCATTTTCTGAGTTACTAACTACAGCAGTATTTCCCAATGATTCATACTTGTTCATCTTATTTGACTTGAACTTTTTGAATTCGGAGTGAAATAGAAATAAATGGATGCCTTTGCTCTTGCTTCTCTTTTTGGTTGATTAAAGATTTAATGAAAAAAGGAACATTTGAAACAATCTTTTATCACAGGTAAACCATGGGATCTCACAGGTAAATATCACACATGCCATGCCATTGAATGTTCAAGTCTTCTCTGAAAACAGCATTAGGAAGAAATGCATTTTGCAATTTTGGGAGATACACTTTAATAACTTCTATCTAGCCTAAAGGAATCATAAAAACATTGATATTTTACATTTTAAGTGTGCACAGAAATCATTCCTAGAAAATAACATCTGCTTGGCAAATGTGAATACGTTAGCACAAACATTCTGCTATCCTGCAACAACTTTTTATGTTTCTTTCCCCCTATTTACCAGGGAACTGTTAAACACTTAAATTCTCTAAGTTTAGGGGCTTCTTGGCATCGATGCATTACATTTTCTGAATCACCCAAGCTGATTTCTTTAGAGGTTGCTCATAAGTTCAAGTAGAAATATATATACTTTCCTATTGGGTCTTTTAAAAGTTCTGGAGACAAAGAACCTATTAGCTGATGCTAAGCTAATAGTTAGGAGGTACTTAGAAACACAAGTTGTTCCCTTCACATTAACTTTCTTAGCTAGTAGTAATTTTTTCAGTCATTTTTATAGTAGGGGAGATAATTACAAAAATAGCAAAACTGGATTCTGAGTGGAATATGAACTCAAGTGAATTACACAGAGCTATATTGTCCAACACTGTAGTCACCAGCCTACATAGCTATTTAAATTAAATAAAATGAAAAATTCAGTCTGGCAGTTGCAATAGATAAATTTCAGCTGTTCAAAAGCTAGTGGCTACTATACTGGACAGCCAGGGAAAGAACATTTCCATCACTGCAAAAATTTCTAGTGGACAGCACTGACACACACAGGAAGACAGACATGTTATATTTCAAAACTGAGGTTCTGGAGCTTTACTGGTGGTAACACCAAAAATACTTAACATTTTTTAAAATTATTTTTCTTTTAAGGAAATCTTTTTTTTTTATTTTTAGTTTTAGGTGGACACAATATCTTTATTTTATTTTTATATGGTGCTGAGAATCGAACCCAGTGCCTCACGCATGGTAGGCGAGCGCACTACCACTTGAGGCACATCCCCAGCCCCAATACTTAACATTTTACTGAGCATTTAATTCTTACACCATTCTACAAGGGAAGTACTACACTGCTACAATCCCTTACCTAAACAAAGAACCTTGAGAACTGATGTGTATAAGAACTAAAATAATAATTTTTTTGATTTTATAAAGAAAACGGGCTGAGGTTGTGGCTGGAGCAGTAATCTGTAATAACATTATTAATAAATAATAATTAATAAAGATCATAAATAGCCTTATTAATTTAGGTCAGGTTTTGTTGAAAATGAATTACAAAAAAACTCTTTTTGAGTTTTCATAGTTATGGGTTTAGAGAATTACCCTTCTGTTTTCTGAAGACCTGGAGCAGGATGCAGTTCTGAATGTAGGCAGCCTAACTCCAGAGTCTCCCAAACTGACTTCCATCAAATTTGGAGTCAGAAAATGTGTGAGTTTCTATCTTTAATTATACCATAACTCGTGGTCTAAATTATCTTCTGGCCCCAATGAAATGAAGGCCCAATTAATTTTTATTTTCAAGGGTCCAAGTTTTTACATTGTGATTTTATTCCAAAACCCAAAAATGTTAGCAGGTTTACCTTCTCTTTCATTTTTCTGGTCACTCATTAAATCAGCTCCAATAAAGATGACACTGTTTCCATGCTATTAAAAATTGGCATTTTAAAAACCATCCAATATTTACAGATGTAAAACGGCTTATATAAATTCTACATTATACCAGCAGAGAGAGATGAATATGGGGGAAAAATATGAAGTATTTGGTTGGTTTAGTCAACTCATGGGAAATTCTTCTCTTTGGTCACCTTTAAAAAGAGAGTTTTTTGTTTGTTTGCCAGCTATATAGTCTAACCTACAAGCTTCTCACCCTGTACCAAATAGTTTGCTTTGATATTTGTATATAATCTTGGGTCTCCTGGAGTAGGTTTTTTTTTTTTTTTTTAAACTCTACAGGCTCATAAAAAGAATAGCTGTTTCAAATGTCTAAGGGTTTTTCTTTTCAATTTTTTATTTTTTAGTTGTAGTTGGATACAATATTTTTATTTATTTATTTTTTAATGTGATGTTGGGGATCGAACCCAGGGCCTCGCCCGTGCTAGGCGAGCGCTCTACTGCTGAGCCACAACTCCAGCCCCATAAGGGTTTTGTTTTTAATATTTATTTTTTAGTTGTAGTTGGACACAATGCTTTATTTTATTTCTTTATTTTTACGTGATGCTGAGGATTGAACCCAGGACCTTGCACGTGCTAGGTGCGCACTCTACGGCTGAGCCCCAGCCCCAGCCTCTGTCTGTCTAAGGGTTTTCTTGCTGGTAAGAATGGGGAGTAAAAGGACTCCTTCTGTTACCTGTCTCTATTCTTTTCATCCATACAAATAACTGAAGTAAGAGTCATCAGCACTTTAGAAGTACTCACAGGTTTTAGGACTTTTACTACAGGAATCAAAATCTGGGGTAAGACTAAGATAGATGGGGTAGGTGGGGAGGAAAAGGAAGGTAGTCTAAGGAAAAGGATGAGCAATCTGTCCAAGTCTAGGATTCAAAAAAAGCCTAATAATTGTATTTCACACCTTCTTTATTCTACACTTTAGACTCTACCAGAGCATCAACAGAAATGTGCTATTCTTCAGATGCTCTTACTGAGGTTGTCTATTCTCAGAAACTCTGAATGCATATTAAAAACAGGAACAAATGCTATTTTCTGAAATAAAAAAAAAATCCTTATTGAAACGTAAAAAGAAACTAAATACATGCATTACAGACATACCAAAACCAGTTAGCCAAATGTACTTTAAACCGACTTGAAGACTTTGTCAAATGATGTATCGGTATAGGTTGAATGTTGAAGTGTTTTATGTGGTCATTATGAAAACCACCAATTTTTTTTATTATATTCCCCCAAGCTTTACCTTAATAGACAAATTCAAAAGCTACCAGAAAGTCCTCTCATATCCAAAACTATACTATACACCCTACGATTTTTAGAACCAGGCTGGATTTTAGTAATTCTACAGTCAAACATCTATTTCTAGCTGTTTTACTAGCAAGTGCTTATAAAACATATCCTGCTAAAAATCATGCCAAACTGAGACAAACAAAGTACTGTTTTAGAACATGTTCTATGTGTCAGTCTTCCAGCTATACAATGAAGGCATTATTGTCCACTCAACAAACCAAGCTACTACTATTCCAACCCTGCACAGATATTGCCCTTGACCAGCACTCCTCAAACTTTTTGGCTGTGGAAAAACTGAGACCCGCTAAGAGCTTTTGTTCATGTGAGTTATAGTCAGTGATATTTACCATTTAAAAAATTCAAACTAAAAAAATTTAAAGATATTTGTTGACTTACTTATTTACAATAAAACTACTGTTAACATAATACTTCTAAAGGAAAAATAATCACACTTAAAAAATTAGATAAGCATAGAATTCTTTTACAGCTCTGCAAACTTTTTAAAATTTTTAGTTGTATAGACACAATACTTTTACTATTTAAAATTTTTTTTTTGTCATCCATGGACATACATTTATTTATTTATTTATTTATTGTGCTGAGAATCAAACCTAGTGCCTCATACATGCTACACAAGTGTTCTACCACTGAGCTACACCCCCAGGTCTGCAAACTTCTTTAATGTCTGATTCTATATTCAACCTGTTGTCATATGTTGCTCAGGTGGAACTTTATGAGGTAAAATATGGCCTTACACATATGGACAGTGGAAAACAGAGTATTTTAATAACCCTTTCAACTAACTAAGGATATTCTTTGATACTACACTAAAATCCAAAAAGGGATAATTTCTTAAAGGTGGAATCTGTGGAATCTGAAACCATATCATTGGATTTTTAAAAATCATATTACATTAAAATCCACTGGACTATTCTGTACTTTAGATGATACTTTCACCCAGGAATGATTCCATAACATTGTACATTGGTAATCTGGAAGCAAATGGTTCACTGAATCATTCAGCTCTTCTAGGTGTTGTCACTTTTCACTATACAATATCTGGAAAATCACATTTGTTAATCTCGTTCCA